ACATCAAATTTGTTGCGTTTATTTGTTTGCCTTTTTCTTCTCTTGTCAAATTAACTGACTGATGTACAAGCAGCAGAATAAAGCATCTGAAATTTCTGAACTTGATTACTGCTTTAGCTCTGAAGCGTTCCATCTCACTGAGATTTAAATTCCAGATAAGGTTGACAAAAAGAATAAAAAAACTACTTGAACCACTGTCGTAACGGCTACTTATCAACAACAACATTAGCGTATCACATGAAAGCTATTATCAAATATGGCTAAAATTTAGTTGTTTAGATAGACAGAAATTTATCAATATTTCTATCATTTAACATTCGTCTTTCTTTTTGTCTTTTGAGCAGCAGTAATGTTCATAGAAACAATAAAATTTTTACAAAAATAATAGTTTTCTTGTTTTTATTCGTTTTATTAAACTAAAACAGTAGAAATCTGTAACAAAATAGCTGTTATAAGGTCTGTCTAAAGCAATAAAGGTTTTCTTTAACAGGTTTTAAAAGAAACATAAATTTATCAAAAAATTAATAGAAATTTATTCATTTTTCTTTTCTGTCAATAAAAACTAAATAAACAACTGGTTATTCAGTAATTTAAAAAAGGTTCAATTGATCTGTCCCTTCGTCTTCTACTTGAAAAAATTAGTGGAGAAAAAAGTAGACTAAGACAGTATATCATTAGATGACAATACTTAGAATTATATTTGCTCTAACAATAACATTTCATTCATACACTAATTGTAATGTCTTTTATTTAAAAAAAAAAAGACTGGAAAAGTAAAACGAAACTTCTGAAAACTTATTTAAAGTTTATTCACAATTGTACAATAGATTACTTAATAACATTATCTAAACGTGCAATTTATTACTGTAGCTTGAACCCAGTTTTCAACTGTAAGAAACAGGTCGATGCAACCGAATTGTACAATGAATGGTTGTAAAGGTTGTACTGGGATTCTGGAGAATGTAAAACCGCAGTCAGCTGATCGTCTGCTACTTTAAACTTTGGTTTCTAACCGTTTTTCTAGTAAAAAATTTCCTGATAAACAAGCAAGCAAATCGACCTCATAATTAAACTGATAAAAAGTATAAATTGCCTAGAAACAGTTGTCTAAAAAAGATATTTGTTATCGTTTTGTTTGTTTGATTTTCAAAATGCTTATCAATAAATTATACTGGGCATAAACTTAAAACAAATCTTAAATTAAATATTTTAGTTGTTTTCTCTTATAACTACAGAACAAATACAGTTAAATAGGGGTCATCTAAAAATATGAAAAAAACAAAATTAACTAATGTCTATTTGACTGGGAGTTACTACTAAACTATTTTTACGCGTACCATTTGAATTTGCCGAATCAGTGGTTGCCACTAAATAGTTGTTCAATTCTAAGCAATATTGAAGATAAAAATAGTTAAAGGTTGAATGTCCTTCTTTTTTTTTTTTCTTAGCAAAATTTCAGTACAGTTTTAACGAAAAACTGTTTATAAGCGGCGTTTATAGAATATTATCAATAGACTGACTGTATTAATAACAGCCTAAACAGTAGTATTGTCTCGTCAGATTAAATAGAATAAAGTTTTTTTCTTCTTAAGCAGAAGTGTTCAACAACAGTTTACAGACATAATCTTAGTTCAGTCTACCGTTGACGTGAGAACCACAAGCAAAAAAAAAAGCTCACAAATTTGATTTAAATGATTGTTAGGGAAGGTTAAAAAGTGATTTTTTTTTTGATATTCAATAAATACAGCAAGAAATAAAGCTCAAAAACAACAGTTTTAGTGGTGGTGGTCAACTGGCAACATTTGCCGTACTAATGCTGGCCACAATTAAGCCTAATTGTGCAGAGGCAATAAAACTTTCGTTTCAATACAATGAATGGAATGATATATTTATTGTACACTGAATGAAGAGACAAGGAAAAAAAGGTGATCAACGATCATTCAGTTTGTATTTGCAGCAAAAAAATTATAAAATATTTCAAAAAATAAGCATTTTTGTTGCTGTTCTTTTTTTTTTTTTTTTTTTTTTTTTTTTTT